GGAACGCCGGCAGCTCATTAGCCCGGGGCGACCGAGCCGTGGGGAGCAGGTAGAGACCGCCTGGTTGGGGTTCAAAGGGCCGGTCTGGGGCGCTGAGCCGCACACGGACCCTGTTACCGCAATTCTAACACCCAGCGCTTGCAGCACTCACAGCTTCAGGTGGTGTTTTTTTTTCTGCCTGCGTCAAGGTTCACTGGAAGCAAGGACTGGCGGTTAAAAGTGATATTTGAGCTGTAATGGCTAAGTCTGGATCAGAAAAGGAGTTTTGTGGTAAAAGACCAGCGGATGGGGGGCGTGTGGTGAGGGTGGGCTCAGGAGGAGTCGCCTGTGGCCTGGGAACAGTCAGGAAAACGTGAGGAAAAAGAATGTTGGAAGCGAGAAGGGGGTTATCCAGCTTCCCGGCTCTGCTGGGTGGGAAACCTGTTATTGCTGAGAGAGCCTGCTGCGAGGCGGCACGGCTGCAGAAGGGCTTCGGAAGGGGGGAAGCAGGCGTGAGGAAAGAGCTTTTGGGTGTGGGTGAGGAGAAGGCTGCAGATGGATGTAATGGGATGCATGGAGGAGTCAGAGGGAACAGGAGACGGAGGAGGCAAAAGACTGGAAGCAGTAGAGAAGGCGTAAAATTAGGTGAAGATGAGATTAAGGGACCTGAGATTTGACAATTGTGAATTTTCTCAGCGGAAAGTCTTGGCAGAGTTCTCACTCCTGTGTCCCCAGGTTTCATTAGTTCAGGGCACTGATAGTTGGTTTGGTCATGAGCCGGCAGCCACCTTGTGCTGTGGTTGGTGAGAAAAGGTGCTGAGGAGAGATGCAGCCTTTTCAAGTGAAGTCAGTTCTTTTTTTACTTTGTGGTATGTAGGCGTTACAGCATGTTAATAGCCAGTGTAACTCTCTGCAGGATTCATGGCAAAGGTCAGTTGTAAGGAGGAGTTTGAGAATCGCTGGTAAAGCTACCACAGAGTGCAGGACATCAGAGGAGGAACAGAGGCATGCATTTCAAAATCTTGCAAATGGATGGTGGAGGTAGACCTCCGGAGGGCTGAGCAATAGCAGGAGCTGAACTCTCCATCATAAGCGAGGTGGGGGCAGTCTCTGAGGTCTTGAGAGATGAAGCCGAATAGTTTGAGGCTGCCGTTGCAGAAAAGGAGAAACTGGCAGATGGAAGCACCGTGGGTGTTATGTCGGTGTAATGAGCTGGAAAAATGCACTTTGCAATGGTGTTCTGGTGGAGGTTAGAAGGGTGAGACTGTGCTCCTTGGGGCCAGAGAAAGGCATCTTGCAGCAATCGAAATGCAAGCTGACAGAAGCATGGGTGGGAGTTTTAGCTATTTTGGAAGCTTGTAAAAACCATATGGAGCCACTAAAGCCTGAAGACCTAGAGGGTGATGTATGTTGAAGATGATACACAGGTTATGGATAAAGATTAAAGAAGCAGGTACAAAGTATATGTTCTGGCAGGTGCATCAACTTTTCAGAACTGCATTTGCTGAAAAGTGGTGTAGTTTTGCTGTTCTGTTATTTCTTAGGCATAATGCTGGATTTTGCCCATTCTTCAGTAGTATTTGTTTGTTGGTAACTCTTAAAAATCAGATTAAGTTGTATGGAGGTATCATGTGGCTGTTGACAAAGCAAGGTAATAGCCTTATATGTATTATTTCAGCTAACATGGAAAATCAGATTTTGGACTAATATGTTTTTCATCCAACAATCCCCAATCTTACTATTTTAAAAATTCTGTGTTGAAAGATTTTAACAGAGATCCACATTTATTATGATTCTTCTTTTAGAGATATTTGTGGTTGCATCTTCTTTATGAATGGGGAAAGGAGTAAGTTTTCTGAAGTAGTGAATTAACTGGGTGATAGAAGTCCCAATGTCTTGTTCGTTTGCCTGTTAGCAATGTGAACCATTTAAAGATGAGTATTAGAATCATAGAACAGCTTGGGTTGGAAGGGATCTTTAAAGGTCATCTAGTCTAACCCCCCTGCAATGACCAGGGACACCTTCAACTACATCAGGTTGCTCAGAGCCCCATCCAACCTGGCCTTGAATGTTTCCAAGGATGGGGCATCTGCCACCTCTCTGGGCAATCTGTGCCAGTGTTTCACCACCCTCACTGTAAAAAATGTCTTCCTTCAATCTAGTCTAAATCTACCCTCTTTTAATTTAAAGCCATTACCCTTTGTCCTATCGCAACAGGCCCTGCTAAAAAGTCTGTCCCTATCTTTCTTATAAGCCCCCTTTAAGTACTAGAAGGCCGCAATAAGTTGTCCCCGGAGCCTTCTCTTCTCCAGGCTGAACAGCCCCAACTCTCTCAGCCTGTCCTCATAGAGGAGAGGTGTTCCAACCCTCTGATCATTTATGGATGCAGTAAGAAAAGGTTGTGAAGATGTAATTGCAAGGAAAAAGTGTCATGACCTTAACAGGAATTGTTTTAAGTAAGAAAGCTCAGGCAATTGTATTAATACACATTAATTTACAGATTAATTCATGTGATCAGAATCTGAACCGATGCTGTGAAATAATAGAATTGAACTCTGAGATTCAAGGGCAGCTCTTCACAATCCTCAATGAAACATCTCAAGAAGGTAAATCAGTGCATTGCCTTATCACTAACACATTTCACATGTGTCATTTTTTCAAGCTCTGGCTGTTTCTGTATGTGTTATTACAATTTCTTAATGTGTGTATATTTTTAGGCGGGCATTATGCAGGTGTGGAAACAATAAAAACTCGTCTCCTGCCATGGCTAGGGACTTGTTTTTCCTGTGCTACTTCAGGAAGGCTCTTTGAAACCAACCTGTCTCTCACTCAGGTATGTAGGAAATTTATTTTACGGGAATAGAATGGTGTAAATTTATACCTGCAGGAGAGCTTTAATGACTTCCTGTTAATATTAGCCTCCCTCCCTGATTTTGCTTAATGAAATATGTCCTTAGTTGCTCATGGAGACAACTATGCTATTTCTCTTGTCTCGTCTTACATTTCCTTTGAAAGGGAAATCAAAGATTTGGCCTTCTAGGGCTTATGCTGCTTCACAATGAGTGACAATATGGAGGAATTTGCTTTGTAAGAGAAGCTATGTTCTTCTACTGCTTTCCTATTCTAGGGGAAGAATCATGCTACACCTACATTTGCAAAGACATCATAGAAGTATTTATGCGATATCTCTATTAATAAAAACCTAACACTATGTGAAAATACATGAGTAGGCTGAAGATGTGTATAAACCTCCATGCATTTATCTGTGAGCTCCTTTTATTTTTTCGAAGACAAAAATCTTTGTTTAGTATCTGGGCATTATAATATCTCTACCAGGGGGGCGTGTGTGGAAAAGTGCTCATGTCCATCATGATGCCACCATGCCCCTGACTTGATGTTTGGAGTTAGTATGTATTTGATACTTACTGAAGGGGCTATAATACTGACAGTTTGGCAGGAAAGAAGATCTGCTGTGGTTTTACGCTTTGAAAGAAAACAAGAGCGTTGGTTGATATAGACAAGGGGAAAATGTTGCAGATCTTGAGATTTGACAGTGATGTCTCCATGTTCTCTGAGTTCTTATTTTTACAACTCTTCTGTCAAAGTCTTTCCCGATTAAAATAAGGACAAATAAAAAATGGTATCCTTTAGGAGTCAAATTCTAGTGTGTTGCAGGAGCAGGGTTCTGCCAAAAAAAACCCCAAAATGTAAAATAGTGATGTTACTAAATGATGGTACACCACTTATGGATTTTTCATTGCATGTGACATTCAAAATTTAAAGAAAAGCTTGCTGCACAGTTACCTATTCCATTCTGTTAGTATCAGGCAAATCTATAGGTTGTTAAAGACAGAGCTGCATGTGTTGTAGTGTGCTTTCTGGAATGACAACTGTTGCCTCGTCTGTTCTAATAACTTTTTTTTATTTTGTGTACATGAATTCCCAAAAACTTTGAGTTAATGATATAGTCAGTCAGAAGATGAAAGACTGGAAAAAAAAACATGCAACACATCTGCAAGAACACTTTGTTCAGATGATGTGTCTACAGGTAGTAAATCTGCACATATAGACCTTCCACGTTCTCTATCATGAGGTGTAAATGAACTGAATGTTTTTCCTAATATAATTGGGTCTTTGTTTTGTGTGCCTGGAAAGGTATTGCTGATGTTTCTAGAAGGTATGCAATTGCTTTTGTTTTCAGTTACTTTAGAAATGGTCTTTACTGAAATGTTTAGAAACACATCTGCTAATAATGCTATACTACATTGTTGAAGGATTCTGTAAGGTAGAACATTCAAGCAGCGTGATTTTGTGTTTTGTTGTAGGATTCAATTGAGAGAGAGAGGCAGCTGAGAGAGCTGGCCAGCAGTCAGACTTTTCAACTGCAAGAGCTGCAGGAAGAACTGACTTCAACTCGTCTACAGCTCAACCACGTGCAACAAGAGTAGGGGAATTAACTATGATTCTTTTTGTCTGGTTGGTTTTTGTTTTTTCAACAACAAGCCATATTTTTCTCTTGACATCTAAATACTGATGGAGATTTGTAAACTGTTTAACTTCTGGCTTAAAATCAGAGCTTCAAAATACAACTAGGCTCTGGATTGTTCGTATGTGTCCAAAGTGGGGCATAAATGATACAGTCATAGCTGCATTCATAGATTGACTTGATAGGTTTTACTTCTGACAGAGGATTTGGAAAACATGCCAGTACTCTAGACAAAAGGGTTTTGTGTAGTGCATGACCATCCCAGTGGAATTATAGTCGATCAGTCATGTAGGTATAGTGCAACATTTATTGAAGGACCTACAATATGTTGTAATAAATTATGGTATGTAATCAGTATGGGAACATCTAAGAAGATCAAAACCCACTGTGGTACAATGGAGGAACAAAGATGACAGACTTTCAAATAAGTTACTAGGACTGGGTGTTTTTTGTCCAGTTGCATAAAACATGTTTTGCGGAGTACTGTAGTCTTGAAATGACTTAATTGCTTTAGGAACAAATTTGTGCAGTTAGTGCCACTTACAGGGCCATTTCAGAGGTAGCTCCAAGTGACAGACACTTTCTTGTGCATCCTATTAGCATGAGATTAATGAATGTTCAGAGTCCTCGGTCCAGTACAATAAGTGATATAATTTAATGCTCTTAATAAGCGATTCCAAGAATATAAAATTCTCAGGAGTACAAGCCATATTAGCTAAATTAGAGGAAAGAGGTTCAATAGAGTATTTTGTCCTGTATCCTAATCTTACAGATATCTCCTGCTTTCATGGAATTCCAGAATCATAGAATTGTTTGGGTTGGAAAGGACCATCAAAGATCATCTAGTCAAATTCCTCTGCTGTTGGTGGGGACATCTTCAACTAGATCACGTTGATCAGAGCCCCATCCTAGCTGACCTTTAACACTTACGGGGATGGGACATCCACAACTCTCTGGGCAACCTGTTCCAGTGTCTCCCTACCCTCATTGTAAAGAATTTCTTCCTTATATCTAATCTAAATTTTCTCTCTTTTAGTTTAAAACCATTACCCTTTGTCCTATCACTAGGACAGGGATAAAAGGTAAAGTCTCTCTCCACCTTTCTTATAAGCCCCCTTTAAGTATTGAAAGGCTGCAATAACGTCTCCCTGAAGCCTTCCTTCTCCAAGCTAAACAATCCCAATTCTCTCAGCCTTTCTTCAGACAAGAGGTGTTCCAACCCTCTGATCATTTTTCTGGCCCTCCTCTGGACCTACTCTAACAGGTCCACATCTTTCTTGTACTGGGGACCCCAGAGCTGGATGCAGTACTCCAGGTGGGGTCTCATAAAAGGGGAGTAGAGGGCGTTGGGTTTGGGTGTCCCTTGACCTGCTGGTCATGCTTCTTTTTATGCAGCCCAGGATATGGTTGGCTTTCTGGGCTGCAAATGCACATTGCCAGCCCATTTCTAGTTTTTCACCTACCACTATCCCCAAATCCTCAGCAGGGTTGCTCTTAATCCATTTTTTCCCCTCAGTATGTACTGATACGGGCGATTGCCATGACCCAGGTGCATCATCTTGCACTTGGCCTTGTTGAATTTCATGAGATTCACATGGGCCCACTCCTTAAGCCTGTCAACATCCCTGTGAATGGCATCCGTTCCCTCAAGAGTATCAACTGCACCACTCAGCTTGGTGTCATCCACAAACTTGCTGAGGGTGCACTCAATCCCACTGTCAATGTCATAATGATATTGAACAGTACCAGTCCCAGTACAGACCCCTGAAGGACACCGCTTGTCACTGATTGCCATTTGGATACTGAGCTGTTGACTGCAACTCTTCGGGCACAGCCATCCAGCCAATTGCTTATCCATCAATTAGTCCAGCCATCAAATTCATATCTCTCCAATCTAGAGACAAGGATGTTGTGTGGGACCGTGTCAAAGGCCTTACAGAAGGCAAGGGAGATGACATCGGTTGCTCTTCCCTTATTTGCCAACTCATGTTAGTGTCTGTTATGTCTCATCTTGGATTAATATAGGCATTCTAATTTTTCACTATCAAAAAAGTCTGTCAGGTCTGATTGAGTTAAAGATCAGTGCATCCCCCTGAAAAGAAGATAAGAGGACAAAAAATCTTGTGATCTTGCGGTATACATTAAGTATCAAGTGATAAGGTGCGACAGAGAAGGACCCCACAATGTTTGAAAGAAGAGAGAGGTTTTTTGTTCTTGGCATTTCAACTGGTTTGTCAGAATTAGGTAAACTTTCGAAATAATTCCAGCCTGGAAGGTTTAATAAGCAAAGGGGTTGTCTTCTGTTGATATTTCTAACTACACAGAAGAGTTATGGGAGATTGGTGGATCTTACTAATTTATATACCTGAAGGGAGGGTGTAAAGAAGACAGAGCCGGGCTATTTCCACTGGTGCCCAGTGACAGGACCAGAGGCAGTGGGCACAAATGGAAACACAGGAGGTTTCCTCTGAACCTCAGGAAACCCTTTTTTACTGAGGGTGACTGAGCACTGGTACAGGTTGCCCAGGGAGTTTGTGAAGTCTCTATCCTTGGAGATATTCAAAAGCTGTCTGGACATGGTCCTGGGCAACCGGCTCTAAGTGGCTTTGCTTGAGCAGTGGGCTTGGACTAGATGAGCTCCAGGGGTTCCTTCCAACCTCAATCATAAAGGTTGGTTTAGGGGTGAGGCATTTCATCTTATGCTCCTGTGTGGATAGAAAAAGATTATTTGATGAGCTGGAGAAAAGTGTTGCATGGTCAAGGTGAGAAGTACAAGGGAAAGTTGTTCACTAATATAGGTTGGATTAAGTGTGTGGCAGTTTGCAGTACAAGAAAAAGTCATTTTGGGCTAGCTCCTGTGAGAAGTGGGAAACCAGTAGTAAAGCTTTTGTTGGTTGCATTTCTCTGTGCGGTCAGGTCAGAGAGGTGTTGGCTGTGGTTTGCAAAGCTAAAAGTCTGGAAGGTGGAGGGTTGGGAAGAGGTAATTCAAGAAGAGATGAAGTCATGCATGAAAGTTTCAGAACGGATCCTTTCAAGGTGATGCAGTACGGAGTCATGATTGTGTAGTTATTGGCAGGCAAGGGGCAGGTGGAGGAGAAAGAGTTCATGTCCCAAGATACCCTATCTATGGACAGTAAAGTCATTCTGAACGCAGTAAAGTGTTGAAATTGATGGAGAAACTGGAACTGAGTCTTAATGAAAAATAATGGGTCATAGCAAAATAATTCCATTACTACGTAGTCAGATATGACTTCTTATAAGCTATTTGTGTGCTGATAGTCTGCACAAAACCCACTATGATTGTTTTCATATGTTAAATTGGTATAGACTTGGTCTGCTTAAACAGTCAGTTTGTCATATTAAATTCTCTGGTAACATCTCTGCCTTTACCATGAAGGTTATTAATTTTTCTTACAGTCTGGCAAAAACCCAGTTGGCTCTTGAAGACGCAAAGACCAAATCAGCCACTACTCTTTCGGCAGCAGAAGATGAAATTGTTCAGCTAAAAGCAGCGTAAGAAAAGATTAATCTTAGGGTATTTGTCGCAGAAAGTCAGCATGCAGAGACACAGTCTGTCATTTACCTGAGCAGGTTCTGCTTATTCTACACTGTCCTATGCTATAGCAAAAAATAGGTTTAACTCCTTAACATCCTGTTGCTTTGTTACTTGGTGTTATAGGGAGAGAATTAGCATAAGTAGATCCATGTGAGAAGAACCCTTATGGCTGAATTTCCATCCTTTTTTCTTTAGGACAGAGGAAGAATTGCTTTGAAATTAGCAGCTTGATAGTATTTGAGTCTTGTAGATGAAGTTAAATAGGAGAGAACCATATTATGAATATAGCTGGAAACCATTGTTTGCAATTTGCTATAATGCTCTTGAAAGTAGTGTCTGTGTTAAATAAAAGAGACTTCAATCTACCTTAAGATAAAGATCTTTATATGTCTTTTCTTATAGACCATTTTTGCCAAATCCTTTTGTCTGTCTGCACAGAAATAATGGCTATTGGTAATGTCAACATCTCTGGTTTAAAAATGTTTTTTGAGTTTTTAAGTGTGTTGGTCACATCTGGGAAGTCAATCTGGATCAGGAAGGGTGCAGCTGGGGGACCTACCTTTCCATTTCAATACCAGGGTCCTTTAAAACTAATTTCCTTTTGCGGCCTGATCTGCAGACAGTTCTAGAAGCAGTAATAATTCTTCACTGTTATGAAATGTAGCCCATGTCTTGTTTTGTTTGGTTTTTTTTTTTGTGCATTATATTATCAGAAAATAATACAAAGTTAGTTGAAATTAATTCCAACAGCATGTGAATACTTGTGACAACTGACATTTCAACAATGGAAATATAGTAATACTTGTGAAATAAATACTCACAGCTTTTCAGTTAAATAACATTGCTGCTCTTAAAAATGAAGGAAACTTGACTTTGCTGCTTAAACTGCAAGAAAGGATGTAGTTGTCCATGAGTTTCTTTCCTTTTAGTGCAACTGAGAGGATGAGCTAATCCCGGTAAAGATAATCAAACAAAAACCCTCAGGCCATTAGAGTTTCTACTTTCAATATCAAGTTGAATATCACTTGTTCATCTCTGGATGATAAACTCATATTCCCGTAAAATAGACTCTTGATTTGTTGGGTGAAAAGTAGCTCATATAGCTCATTGATTCTTACATATAACCTGACTGCTCTCTTCCCTAAAACTATTAGTAGGGAATAAAGCATCTCACAATTCCCATGTGTAGGTATTAATGCAGGCTGTACAGAAATTCATGTTGCCGTTTGTACTACTGACAGAAGAACAAAACATCCCTGTCTTCCTGTGAATTCAGGAATTCCATATCACCACATACTTAAAGTTCATGTTTGCTCTCAGTTTAGTTGGCGCTCTACATTTGCATCTTCTGCCTGGGTTTTGATTGAAGCAAAGGTGCTATTTTTCATGTTCTGTGAATCATCTTTTCAAAATTTTAAGCCTTTTAGTTGGGTGAAATCAGATTTACCTAGTCTTCACCTGCCCGTCAAAACCAGAATCCTTCTAAAAGTACAGAAAGTGAGGTCAGGACTGACCTGTGACACTTAAGATATGATTTTTTTATTTATTTTTTTTTAACACAAGGAACAGTTTGCCAGGAGTGTCCTTTGCATCTTTGTCTGTAAACTTGTGTTTTGAGAATTTTGGAATAGCTGATGATCTCGTTCCTCTTGTCTATAGTCTGTCTGTCTCACATACTTAAATCAAATACTTAAATAAATACATAAATCAAAGCATGTTTTGCAAGACATCTTGGTCTCCTGGGCTGTTAGAGCAAATGTGATCTAGACTCAATATAATTAAATTCTCTAGTATAAGTATAAGCTTTTGTTATGTCAGGATATTAATTTCAACAGGATTTAGCAATTTGCTGCAGAATTAGGAAGGAAAATACAAACTTTTAAAGTGAATCATGATCAACATTTTAAAAGTATTTGGAAGTTCTTCAGGGGAAGACAAAAAATAGTGTACTAAAAACTGTTATATGCAGACGGAGCAAAATCCTATTAACACTATTATAAGTAGAAGCTTACTACTAGGGTGCTTAGACTCATGCCAAGGTCTAATCAAGCTTAACAAAGCCAGATGACACACTTTGAAGTCAATGAGGTCAGGAGGACTTTTCTTTCTTGATCTGCTGTATGGAGGACTTGTTATATAGATTGTCAGGAAGAAACTTTGATAAACATGGTTTTAATTAGTAACACCCAATATGGTACTTTGAATCGGTTACCTCAAGATCGTGTAGTGTCACTGTTGCAGGGGGCTCTTAAATATAGGTTAAACAGGCATCTGGCCAAAATTTGCATAGATGGAGTTGTTCTTGCCTTGAATTTCAAGGCGATCTGACTGAATCAGTCAGGCTTAGCCCAAGGACTAGGGCAACTGTGAGGCACTTTATTGTTAATGAATTGTTTGAAACCGGAGGGTAACAGTGGGCTTCTTTATCCAAACAGCATTAAGCAGATACTGGACACAAATTCTCAAGGTTATTGTATTTTCTCCTGAGAAACTGGCTTAAGATGCCTATTGTTTTTTTAAATGGTTAGATGGGGGAGTGTAAAACACTAGTTATAGCCTTAAAATAAAAGTGGGTTATTAAAACTGTTCTGATTTTTCTAAGAACAATATTTTGCCTTGTTTGTTCCCATTATTTTTTTGTAACATCTGCATCTCTTTAACAGAAAGTTGATAATGCTCTCTTCACTTCAGACTAATATTTAGCAGTAAAGTGAATGAACAATAAAACAGGGAGAACTCTGAATACTGCATAGATTTAATTAGCATAGAAAGGTTTAGTGTTAAGGCTTACAAAAATCAGCATTGGTGATTCATAAATGTGTCTGTCTTGAAGTTGTTTTTTTCCTTTTGGTACTTAGTTTTTCTTAGAAAGAAAGAAATATTAATTTTCAGTGATGGCTTTTCTTATGTTTTTGACTTGCTATATGGCTTGTGATGAACCATGAAAGACTCAGGTATTTCTGCTCATTGCAGTCTGTCATGTGCTCTCCTGGGGTTTTTTTTGGTTTGTTTTTTCTTTTTTTTTTTTCTTTCTTTTATTCTCCTGATAAAGGCAGACCTATAGTTAAGCGTTTGTTTGTATTTGTAAGTTGCTGTTCTGATGAAAAGATGGAAGCTTTATGGATCTCACAGCAATGAGTTAAAGACCATTAAAAAATTGCTTTAAAACTTTCTGAAAAATCCCCATGCGAATAGGGGTAAATAACAAAAAGAAAATAATACAGAAGTGAAATGATTACTTTTCATTTATCTTTGTCTGTCATGGCAATTTAAGGAAAGACTGACTAGGGCTTTTTTCCAACTTTTTTTTTTTTTCCCTTTTTTTTGGTACGTAATGATTTTCCTCCATCTCTATCTCTAGAACTCATCTTCCCAAATCTAGTTTCCTTTCTCAGTTGTTCTTTCTATTGGAATTCTTCTTTTACTACTACTCTGCCAGAAGTCCTGGCTGGAGCAGCTGACTAAGGATGCCTATGGGATTGCAATAATATCTGCAGGTCCTCCTACCCAGGTTAGGAGGACAGTCTTTTTCCGCTTAGCAGATGCACTGGCCTTACTACCTGTGGTGCTCTTAGTCAGCCCACTCCTTAAAAAGTTGGAACTGGAAGCTTGTCAGCTGATAGGTGTTACAGCTTTCGTTGGTTCAGATCCTCAAAAATTTCACCGGGGTCCTTCAGTAAAGAAAAGGAAGGACAGACTGAAAGCCTCCAAAATTAATAGAAAGCATCCATTTTTAATTTTTTTTTTCTTTTAGAAAGAGGAAAATGAGTAATATCTGTGTTAGGATAGGAGGGCAAGCAGAGTTGTTGACATACTTTCTAACATTAAGTAAAGGACAGAAGATGCTCTTGCTTAACTGGTTGTTTGCCAGTGTTTAAGAAACACTGCTCCTCTTGGAGAGAGCAGGGGAGGAATCTTTTAATACTACTTGAATAACGTCATTGGAGTTATCCTTTGACTGACTAATATATTTCAGCAAAGAAAAGAACCTGAGGACCGGATATAAGAAAATACCTAGTCTTGAACTGTAGGAAAGAAAATTAGGCTGGTTTACTTAACATCTTAAATATGAGAAAGAAAACAGTTTCTGTCTTAGACCTCATCATCTGAGCTAATGCAAGGACACCAAATGTTAACTAGGGATCTCTCCTGTAACATAAAGTGTAGTGTATCCAGTCTCCTGCCACAGTACACTTTTACTTTTTAAAGTGTCATTAAGACTATGCTTTGGAGTATGCTTTTTTTTTTAAAACTCTTGGTATCCCTGTATTTCAGTGTAAGGATCTTGCTCAATATTTCTCCTTTTTTTCAGTTATTTTTGTTTGATGATGAGGATTAATTGATAGATGGTTTGCATTGGTAGAAGGACACCTTGTGACTGACTTTATTCTGTGTGGTTAAGTCTGAAGACTTCCCGTGCCCAAGAGAAGGATGCCCTGAGGAAGTTAGATCGTCTGAGTGACTATGAGCAGCAGATTCAAATACTGCGGGATGAGATTTCTATCCTGGATGCCCAAAAGTCTGTTCTCCAGAGCAGGTAGAGGCGTTATTCAGAGAAGTCACAGAATCAGAGAAATTGTTCATGTTAGGTAGCATGAATTCCCTCCTCATTTGAAACTGAAGTATAAACAAAAGCTAAGCTTTGTTATGAAGGGACATAAACTTTTTAACTGATTTCTCCTAGTGCCCAAATGTTTTAATTTCAGGCAGCTATGTTAAGTTTCTGGCAAAACAGCAAAGAGAGCAGCTTTACAAAATACATTGAGAGCAACTGTACAGGATAAAAAGAGATGGTTAGTTTTTTGTTTATAAGTCCTCTTTGAATACTTTACCATTACAGGGCAGAACTTGTTGTTATATTCTCACTTGTTTGACCTTACAACTCTTCAGTGGTACTGAAAGAGGAACAAATCTCCGAAATATTACTGTTTAAAAATGTGTTTCCCGAGAACGAAGTGCTTGGCTGTACACACTTTAGGAATTTAATTTTATTGTTCAGACTCTAGCCCATAAAATGTATTGACACAAATGCCTTCATATTAGACTAACCAGCTGCAACTTCACTTCTTTGATTATGTTGGCTCAAAATCGCAGCTTACCCCGGTAATAATTAAATTGACACAAAACTCTGCACTAGGCAAAAGCATCTGAGGATGGTGAAGTGACCTCATGCTTCTTTTTACATGTCTGTCATAGGCTTGCACGGAGCCGCTCTCCTTCCCCAAGGCGCAGTGAGAACAAGTCACCTGGTCCACCTTCTCTGAGGAGCTGCTCACCTGGCCGAGCCAGGCGTACAAATGCTTCGCGTCGCGCCTGCCTGGTAGCTCGCTTTGGTGACATCTATGCTCAAGAACGCTTGGATGCAGAAACCCTTTTGAGGACATACATCAGTGACATGGAGATGGTGCAGAGGATAATATACATTGCAGCTGTGGTAAGAAAAGAATTGTTTTTCTTGTTTTCGGGCCGGAAGTGCTTTATAAAATACTATAGCTAGATTGGATTAAATTGCGTGTAAATTAGCATTTCTGTGAAGTATGGAGAAGAAAACTTCTCTTCAGTTTTCCCTTTTGATTTTCCTTTCTTTCCCTCACACTTTTACATTAAACTCTCAATTCAGTGTCCTTTTCTGACTGTCCTGTCCCAACATTAGAACAGGGTCAGTGATCTACAGTACATGTGCTAGAAGGGCTGCATAAGAAGCTCTGAAAGGTAGATGATTCCTGCAGTAAACAACACCACCTCATTTAGTTGAATTCTTTTGGGAATACTACATTTTAGAAATCAAAAATCTTTCCATATCATGCGTCCCTCTTACCTGTAGCTATGTGCTTTTCTAGTTTTATTGGGTCCCTTGAAATTACCTAGATACCTCACGTTTACTATGAGCTCAGTCTTAAGAATTTTTTTTTGTTTTTCTGTACTTATTCTTGTTTTCTATAAAATTGATGTAGTACATACCTACGTCAGAGAGGCAGTGTGTCTCTGAATGCGTGCGATCCCAAGCACATTTAACTTACTGAAGTTTTTTTTCGCACAACTGTCATTCAGTTTACACTCTCCAACTCAACCTTTCTTCCCAACAGACCAGAGGTGCTCCTGTCCGACATGTTAGTCTGTGGCACATAAAATGCTGTTACTGAATTCTGCTCTTAATGTCTTGGAATATGATTCCATTGATCGTGGGTGTGTGATGGAATCCTACGTAAAAATAGAAAGTTAGGTGGGAAGCTTCTCAAGCCTGTCTTCTGCAAGTAAATCACACGTGATTTTAATCACAGAAGTCCTCCCAGATGAGTACTGTTTTTAACTTTCACAGCAGTGTTTTATATTCCTCCTTACAATGATGATACTGGGTTAAGTTCATCCTCTTAGATAATTGATAAAAAAATGAATCTCAGTCTCCTGGATTTAACTGGATGTTCTTTACGTTTGCAGGAGTCTTTTCACGCAGCAAAGATGGCCTACAGGCAGTTCAAAATACGTGTAAGAGAGACTCTGTCTCTAGGTCACTCGGGGCCTGAGTCACTTGAAGACACTGTCCTGGATTATATAGTTCGCCATGAGGATCTGTATGATGTTCAAGCCAGTGTCAATGTAAGTCAAGGGCAGTGGGCAACTGACGTGTTGATCTATTTCAGTAACTTATAAATTCAGAGTGTGTAAACTAGAAATGCACCGTAACCTGAAGAAGGAAAAAAGTTTACCACATGGATTTTATGTCTTGTAACCATTTATATTCCCAGCTAATACTGTGGTATGGCCCAGTAATCACTTGTTTTATTTGCCTGTGACTAGAATGTCTCTCTGCCAGAGTAATATTTTTGGCAAGATACAGTGTAACTGCCTTAAGTAAATGTAAGCTAAACTTCATATTTTCCTTAAAGTCTGTGCTCTACTGAAAAACTGAATCTCCCTCCTAAGACTGATGTCAATGATGTAACTTAGTTTATTTCTAAAATAACAGCACATTATTTCTGAAGCTAATATTTTCTGGAATAGCCTAAGACAACATTACTGGGAGCTTTTTACACTGATTTTTAAATGTGGAAATCTGAGAGGCATATTTAGGAGGGATTTCCATACTTGCCTGTGAATAAAAGTGTTAGTGAGCTCAAATTACTCGATTGTGTTTATTTTCAGGAAGTAATTCGCTCCATGAACATCAACCCAAAGATTTCATTTCCACCAGAAATTGATTTCATAGTGATCAGCACTTTGATTCGAGAGTTGTGCCGTGTGGCTTTTTCAATGCAGACACTCCTTCCGCCTCTTGATATTGCCTTTGGTACTGATGGAGAACTTTTCAGTGAGACCAAGTAAGAACTCATGTATTTTCAGTCAGATTCTTACTATTAAAAAATCCATTATGCTGTATAGTCTACTTCTTTCCTAATTAATATAAAGGTTTAAGATTGACGCTAAACATTAATTTGGGGTGAATATTCCTGGTCTGTAGTGAATTTGGTATGTCAGTTTGTGATGGTATATAAATGCCAGGATGTAGACCAGGGTTAACAGCTTTTTCTTAATGAACATCAGAGCAATTTCTGGATAAACTTCAGTCTCTAGAGTATATTTGATTTATCCTTTGAGAGGAAAATTATCATCAGCTTTCCTTTCCCTGTTTAGTCTCTGTCTGCCTCCAATGTTCATAAAATATGTGCATCTTTGTTCCTCCTTTCTGGCCCATTTTGTAAAAGTCGTGTTTACCGAGATCTGGCAGTTGGTGTCTGATACCAGGATCATCAACATGTGTGCTGTGACCTCCAGGCTGTGGCTGCTGTACAACATATGGATCTTAATACACTTCCTCCTCTTCTGGTTTAAAGCTGAGCAAAAAGAAAAATGCCTTTTAAAAATGGGGATTCTGTTTAAAAAGTGAACTCCACAACATAGTTTTTCTTTTTTCCATAGGGTCAGGGCTGGCTGCTTTGTTAGCTGGCAGAGAACTGTAGGTACTTCCATGCCTTCAAGAAAACTAATGGGATTGACAGCTGCAAAAAAAAATTGCTCTCAAAAGCAAGAAAAACCACACCAATAAGGAGGTTTCTAATAATAATTTAAAATAGAATGAAACCCAGATGGGGAAGAGCTTGAGCAGCCAAGGAGAGAAATACAGAAGATAAAAGTAGCACTTTAACAGGAGAGTGCAAAATTATACATGACTACTTACTGATCCTGTCCAAATACTGGACAGTTAGCTATTTGATACCCAAAGCTATTGGCTGAATTAAGAAGGCAGGAAAGCCAGGGTATAGTCTTGGGATGCTTTCTCCACCTGGTGTAATGTACTGCTGCAGGAGACATACATACACACATCTGTCCATCTATATAGATAAATAAGTGGCATATAGATGTTTACATGTATAGCACATGGTACACAGAGATGGAGCAAAATCTGTAGAAATTCGAATACTTCTGTTAGTTATGAGTGACACCATTCTATAAAAGGGCTGGCCAAACCTCATGGTACCCTATACCTTCCTCCATGCAAAGCTCCATGCCTCTGTTTACAACATCGTTTTATATAAATTGCTTTTGTACATAGATTATTAATGTATAGATGCATTGCTATTTTTTACTTCAGTTTTGTTTTGAGTTTGAATCCACAAAACCAGACATGTATTATTCAGCCAATATTGCAGACTTAGGGATGTAATATATATCTGGTATGTTAATAAAGGCCTTCAAAATAATTTTTCTTAGCTAAAAAGTCACTGATTCATTATCAGTATCTGAGGGTCTTGCTGATAAAATCGCCTCTTCTGTCTCATAAGATACTAGGATGTAACTTTATAGTTGAGATAAAGTATTTCTGTAATATCCTTTATAGGGGTCTTGTTTTAGCAAGATATTTCACAAGATGCCAAAATACTGCTTAGGAGATATAATCTGTCAGTGGACCCAAGGACCCTGGCTTGTGTGGGGCTTATGCAAGAATAAGTGCCCTTATGAAGTGTGAGGTGGCTTTATTGGAATGTCTCTCAGTATAAGTAGACAGTATATTCTACTAAATCTGTCCTACAAATGCATTTGTTCTAAAGGTTCGCTTAAAGAATACTTATTTCTGTGATATGGAAATATTGTCAGGAAAGATGTTTATAAGCTCTCACTAGTATTCTGCTTTTTATCAGCATTGATGACTTGAAGCATCATATTTATCTTTTGGCACTTATATGCAGTCATTTTTTTATACTCTGTGTTTGAACAGGTACCATCGTAGTTTTGACTCTGATTTCACAGCTGCCTTGGTGGCCTATCATGTATGGCCTGCTCTGATGGAAAATGATCTTGTAATTGTGAAGGGAGAGGCAGTCACAAAAAGAGGAGCTCTGGTAAGTACTTTTGTTAAGGAACATGTTAAGGGAAGTCATTGATTTAAAACACTGGCTTAAGATTTAAAAAGAGAAATTCTTGATTTTTTTTCCCTATATGGCTGGAGTTGTGTATATCAAATGTCAGTTAAGTTTTAGTGCCCCATCCTGTATTTAGGATGAATAGTTCCATCTGCCTTAGTGGATTCATTATGCAGATGTATGATTGTTGGCAGAGCCTGTTCTAAGAAGAAAGTTTACTGTGTTTACTCTCTGTCCTCAAGCCTTGTCTCCAGCATGGCAAGTCTGCTTGCTGGGTCTGTCTTTATTAAATGCCCTCTCTCAAAAGAGATTTGTGAAACTCATCTCTTGTAGTGGTCTCGCAGAAGTAGAAGTAGAGGCAGAAGCCGCAGCCGTAGCGCCAGTCCTCTTCTATCTCATCACGTAAGTCTCAGCTGAATGCTCTTGTAACATAAACAGCAACAAGTATTTTAAACTCGGACTGTAGGCAACATTTTAAAGTGTTGATGTGCCACACGTATATTTTAACATTGGCAATAAATGCCTTTGCTGGGTCTGGAATGAGGTGAAGCTGAACTGACAAATAGTTGTTACCTGGTCTAATTGTCAGTGGAGATACCGTATGAGAAGTAGATCATAGTTAAATTCTTAGAAGTTTCAACTGTGGATCTCTGAATGCTTTCCCCCTACTCCCCTCGCTTCAGTACGCTTCTGAATAACTAATTGCATCATCTGGAAGTGTTCTAATCATCTTGCAGTACATATACAGCACATGATCCCTGCCTTCTGGAATTAATCATCTAAATTTACCCTTTAATGCCTCAAAGGAGCAGAAATATCAGTGTAGGGTGGGCAGGAGGGGAAGAACTGAGGTGGTACTAATAAAATATGCGAAACCTTAGCAGAGTTCTGCGTATGGTATAGTTACACATTATTTTTAATTATTTCTGGAAAAATCATGTATATTTTTCTAATTGAGAGCCCATATTATTAAATTGATGTAAGTGCCCTCAACTTAAAATGTGAATATTGAAAAGAGGAGAAGCTTTGGGTAAGGCCCACTTTTTTCTGTGTGTGTGTGCAGGGTGTGAAAGAAAAACTAGAAAGTTGTTGAATTTGACTTTGTAGCAGTGGAGCTGCACTGATAGTGAAATGTGCAAATTTCCTCAATGTGATGGGTCCCCGGGTGCCTTTCTTGGGTACAGTTGTTCAGCACACCTGAGTTTCCTTTTCTCTTTGTCTTGCAGTTGTCTCGAAGCCGTAGTCCTTCACCAGTGAGAAGCGGAAGCCCAAGTAAGTGGGTGTATTAGTTCATGGTTTTCACATTAAACCCTCGAACAAGCGAGCAAAGAGACAAAATAACATGGTGAAGGTCTTTAACTGTAAAATACTTGTCCAAGTCTTATTTGTAAAATGGGTAGCCCCTTTCTTTTCTGTGTGTGGAAAAAGGCTGAAATTTCTGACTTGGAAGAGAGCTTGTTTTTCACTCTACTCAGACCACTGTCGTGAGTTCTCTCTGCTGGTTGCCTTTATTGTAGCAAGTTCTATCATAAATAAAACTTCTTCTGTTCCCTACAGAAGAGACAGTTAGCTGCATGCCTGCTGGCTCCATGCCTTTCGAAATCCAAAGAGATAGTTAAATGGCCATGGTGAATTGAGGGATTTCAAACAGTATGAATGTGTGCCCATCTTGAAACCAAGCCAATTTAGAGATTACAAAACATAGTTGTACTGAAATGTGTCTTTCTCTTCAACAGGGCGTTAACTGAACATGTTCCTGTCATTCAGTACATCTGGATCCAACAACTTCACTGGTGCCTTTTCTCTTCAAGAATACCTCAAATCTCGCAATAATGTGAATGGCAATTGTCACTCCAAATGGAGTTTGTGTTCAGTGTGGTTTTTAGAATTATAGAAGGCTTATTAATAGTTTTAGACACTAATTCAACCCTCCTGATTTAAAAAAAAAAAAAATAATAATGCATGCAATACAGGATCGTACTCATGTGGCAAAATTTTCAGAGCACTGAGGAACCCATGCTGTAATCTTGCAGATGAAGATAGAATTATTGCATCTAGAATGTTTTCTACAGATACCAAATGATGTAGTTAATCTTGATACAATGTTTAATATAACCTAAATGGTGAATGTTGCAGAATGCTGAGGTTAGCTGTTACTTGAAAACAATTTCATTAGTTGGTGCTTATTTACAATTTTACAAACCAGCAATAATCTTAGGATGTGCCAGTCTCACATAGCATTCTTTTAAATATGCCCTTGCGGTAAACTGCGTTTTCTAACTGCGATGCAAAAGTTGCACAGAATGGTCATAAACTACCAACACTGCAGCAATCCCCAGGACTTTACTGACGTTTACTTATGAAAGCACAGGTGTGTGCTTTAGCAAGGCAGTAATAGTCCTTGTTAAATTCACTGTTAGTTAGAAATGAGTATCATAAAAAATTGTAGTTTGGAACTTAAAGTATTTTGAAAGTGTGCCACTGATTATTTGTAGGCTTGAAATATTTGCTTGAGGTGGCCTATTCGGTATCACTTTTAATGGGCTTTCATACCAGACTGATAGTAATTCTTGTGAACACAGTGAAAAAAGCCTGTCCGGTTATCTCTTACAGTGGGCTTTTATTACATTTTAAGTGTAAAAATTAGAGACCTAAAGAGATTTTATTCTGGCACTTTAAATACCTTGTTCCCCTTGTAAATCTTTATTTTAATATCAGCATTTTTGTTTTCAAGAGAACTGATACCGCCTTTCTCTCAGAACCTTATCTATAGGGCCAGCTTTAAATAAAAGCTGCACAAGTGACAGCTTGGGGTCTTGTGCTTTTACATAGAAATATAGGAGTTGTCATAATGGAGCTGATGTGTAATTCCCAACTCCACTGTCTCATTCCAGTCAATACCTGATGATTGAAAGGGTATGTGGTGCTTTCCCCAAATTCATCTCTGCAATTTCGGGATATAAACAATCAGAAGGAGGAAAAATTCCTTTCTGTCTCCTCTTTTAATCAGCCTGTGCCCTAGAACACGGCATGTCATTAGTACTACTGTAATAACGTGAGCAAAAATATTTTTATTAGTTCCAAAACTATAAAGTCCTTAAAGTTACGTTTCAGGAGCAGATTTTGTGATCCATTTCCAGGGATTTTATGTAGATTTACACATCTGTGCTCTTTCTACTTCTTGTGTGGCTTAAGACTTTGGCACAAGGCTTTTTGGCACAGGATGAGATTTCAGGCAGACTTTAGCATTGGTCCCCATGAGCCACAGATCAGCTGTGACTCTAGTTCTACAGATGTGTTTTCACTGGAATTGGGCCCGTTAGTAACCAGTGAGAGCAAAATGAGGTCCCCTACGTAGAGTGTCATTCACAGGGCCACTCTGAGTGAACTAAGGGGACACAAAGGCACGTGCACGGTATGTGGTGTAGTTTCTTGTTATCGAAGAAAGTCACAAGAGAAAATGTGAAACAATGTTTCCTCTTCTAAGAGCCTGATTGTGGGTCACAGCTATGGATCTGGGCTTGAAGTAAAACTGCGTGTTTCTTCACTGATCTCATGACTAAAACCACTACAGTTCTGGAAAAACTGAGCACCTGCGACTTATGTGGCGACAGAAGATATTTGGATATCCTGAGGATGGTTTTGAGCAGAAAGATGAAGACTTTCTCAAAAGTTTGTAATTACCAAGGGCTAAGGAGATGTAGATTTTTAATAATTAGATGTTGTATGTTTGTCTTCTGCATGTAGTTACCAAAACATGTCTGTGTTATGATTTTGAGTTGAAGTCAGTTTCCATGCCAACTGTGAGAAAACTGAGACTACATGGAGGAAGTATGTTTTTCTTGACAAGCCTGAGAGGAAGGGTAGTTCCAGACTTGCACGCACCTGTGATACCACTTGGAACTAGTATTCCCAAAGATCTTAAATTGCCATAAAAGACAAATTCACAGTGCTTGGAGGGCCATCTCATCTTACTCCCCAGCAGGTACCCAGAGAACTAGTTAGTCTCAAAGTAAAAGAGAAAACTAATGAAACGACAGCCAATGACTTGTTTTTGGTAATTAGAAAGCAGCTGTAGGATTTTTTTTTTTTATTGCATAATGTTTCAGAGCAGAGTGAGCGATTTTCAGCAAAATAGGAAGTCAGCGCACAGCATAATAGCACTTAATTAGTTAAACAAACCTTACTCTACTCAGTTGTACTCTGCAGCCCATAATCTTTTTATAGGAATATATTGTTTTGTACTGGCTGCCTGCACAGCTTATTTATAGCCAATTAAATCCATAGGTCAGATAGAAGATTGCTTTTTGTCGCCATTTAGACGCTAACAGCTCCTGTGCTGCTTTTTATCGACATGACAACAGCACAGAGAATGCATACCAATAAAGATTATATGGAATTAACCAGCAAATGCAAAATAACTTATAAAAAGGGACTTCTGTAATTGCTTGTAAGACCCTATGAAAGAATGGATGATGAATGTGAAACCAATGACTTGATATTTTAATAAGAGTTTTTAAAACCTTAAGCAAGATTTTTTTTTTTTTAAAATTTTCCTTTTTTTCTCTAAATCAAGCCTGGATAATGCCGCACTTGTCAATACAGCAAAATAGAAACGGTAAGGGTGGATTCTAATAAGTGACAAAAAAAAAAAAAAAGGCCAGTCAGCCTTCTATTACAAGATAGTTTTGGAGCAGTATGATCATGATCAAAGTGATAATACCAGGAAAAAAAGGCTAGTTTCTGAGCTAATTTAAACTCTGTGCACATGGACTGATGGAAGTGAGACTGCACGTGATGTAAAAAAGCACCACCTTTGGGCCAAGGTGTTCATGTAGAACAGCACATGTTAGTGAGGGATTTTGGGATTGCTGGAGAATTGCTCCTGCATGTCAGGTCTTTGAAGGCTGATTAATGTCTGTCTCAATTCAAAGGCTGTCCCAGAGTCAGTCTGAACATGTGGATGTTTTATCACCTATTTCTGGGAAAATCCAATGTCATCAAAATATCTTCAGTCTTCCTTCTTCAGTGTTTGCAGCTCAGTAACATAGAGGCTCATGCAGAGCTACCAGACACTGAGGGTAAACGGCTCAGCTGAATTTGCTACTGCACAATAAAAATTTAAATTCAGAAGTTATCTTAGATAGATCCTTCCAGCATCCTGACTGGAGAAAGTAAATTGGGAGCAGGAAGTTGGTAAAGTCCTCCTATCAGCGAGCTGTGGGGCTGATTCAGTCTGGAGATGAGCGGTAAGTTAAAGCAAAAATGCTCTACAGCCTGAAGAAAGTAAATGCGAAGGCCAAAACCTGTCAAAATGCTCCCTGGAAAACATGCCTATTCATCCTCCAGGATTTGAGCCTTTTAACTTTACTTTTATATTGCATGTATATGCCGCAAAAGTTTATCGTCCTGTAAAAGTGCCATCAGAATTAAATACTGTCTTTCAGCTTTATGTAACCGTAGTCAGCAGTTTTTGATTGGTGTTAACTACGCAATGATTTTCTTACTGCAGCATTAAATAGCCTAGCTTTGTATTAAGTAAGTGAAAATCTGTTCGTTATGACTTCCGGCTGCATTAGCATGTGTTCAGATTGCATGTTTTAAGTTTCAAGACTATTGTATTTCTTTTAACCGTGCAGCAAACTAAGCAAGCATACTAAAGATATGTACATTTCATTTGGTGCAAGTCTTTGATAGTTTAAAGCCACACATGTGAGCAAATCTGTCACAGGCTCTTGCTGATCTACAGGTGTGTTTATATGGAAGCTGCACCTTTCACTTGGTAGACAGAGACAGACATAGAGCACTTGGTGTCATTTTACCGTTAGCAGATGAAGGCATGAACACAAATGAAGTGGATGGTGTATTTCTACCTTTTTATGGCTTTGAGAAGGCAACGCTCCTGCTTTGTGAAACTACAGTTCTCAAAGTAATGTTACCTGCTTGAAAGTAAAATGTCAGCATAAAGATGCTGTTTACCACTGTTAGTATTGCTTCCTGGGAAGTTGTTTCTTCATAAAGGGCTTTGGCCTGCATTCAAACTTCTTTATAATTTTTTTTTCTTTTAAAACAAAGAAAGATCATTTTAAGCTAATTCCTTCTCTTCACAGTATTGAATTATAGAACAGTTTGGGTTGGAAAGGATCTTTAAAGGTCATCTAGTCCAACCCCCCTGCAATGACCAGGGACATCTTCAACTAGATCAGGTTGCTCAGAGCCCCATCCAACCTGACCTGGAATGTTTCCAAGGATGGGGCATCTACCACCTCTCTGGGCAACCTGTGCCAGTGTTTCACCACCCTCACTGTAAAAAATGTCTCCCTTCTATCTAGTCTAAATCTCCCCTCTTTTAGTTTAAAGCCATTACCCCTTGTCCTATCATAACAGGCCCTGCTAAAAAGTTTGTCCTTGTCATTCTTATAAGCCCCCTTTAAGTACTGAAAAGCTGCAATAAGTTGTCCCTGGAGCCTCCTCTTCTCCAGGCTGAACAGCCCAACTCTCTCAGCCTGTCCTCACAGGAGAGGTGCTCCAGCCCTCTGATCATTTTTGTGGCCCTCCTCTGAACCCACTCCAACAGGTCCATGTCCTTCTTATGTTGGGGGCTCCAGAGCTGGACGCAGTACTCCAGGTGGGGTCTCACCAGAGTGGAGTAGAGGGGCAGAAACACCTCCCTTGACCTGCTGGCCATGCTGCTTTTGATGCAGCCCAGGATGCGGTTGGCTTTCTGGGCTGCGATTGTGCATTGCCAGGTCATGTTGAGCTTTTCATCCATCACTACCCCCAAGTCCCGTTTGGCAGGGCTGCTCTCAATCCCTTCATCCCCCAGCCTGTATTGATACCAGGGGTTGCCCTGATGCAGGTGCAGGACCCTGCACTTGGCCTTGTTGAACATCATGACCTTCACACAGGCTCACTTCTCGAGCTTGTCCAGGTCTTCCTGGATGGCTTCCCATCCCTCAGGTGTGTCAACCGCACCACTCAGCTTGGTGTCATCAGCAAACTTGCCGAGGGTGCACTCAATCCCACTGTCTGTCATTGATAAAGATATTGAACAGTACTGGTCCCGCTACTGACCCCTGAGGGACACCACTTGTCACCAGTCCCCATCTGGACATTGAGCCCTTGACCACTACCCTCTGGATGTGACTGGCCAACCAGTTCCTCATGCATGAGACAGTCCATCTATCAAATCCATATCGCTTTGATTTAGAGAGCAGGATGTTGTGGGGAACCGTGTCAAAGGCCTTACAGAGGTCCAGATACAAGACATCTGTAGCTCTTCCCAGTGTCCACTGATGTAGTCACTCCATCACAGAAAACCACTAGGTTGGTGAGCCAGGACTTGTCTCTGGTGACGTCCTGTGGTTAGAGGTAAACAGGACCAATTTTCTTCAGTTACTTTACTTTTTAGCTGGGCCTCTATTACCTCAGGAACCCCTGGCTCATCTCTGTAAGACTTCAAGTGTGCTCCAGTGTACCCAGCATGTCTCAGAGAAACAGGCTGAGGGCCCTCACTAGCAGTTTGTCCCTCTAACCTTGGTGTGTTGTCCCTCAGCTTGTCACAGGCAACCTTGATATTGCTCCCCGTCCCCCTTCAAGCCTGGCTTTGTCAATGAGCCACGCTAGCTTATGAGCAAAGACCCTCTTCCTCCTTTGAGAAAGGTGAATCCCATCTGACGTCAGCAGGCCTGGGGCCATGTAGACCATCCCATTATCGAAAAACTCAAAATTGTGTTGGTGACACCAGCCATGGAGCCATGTATTAAAAGACTGGGGCCATCTGGAAGATCCAGTGTCACTACCCGCAACTAGAAGGAGAGAGGAAAGAATTACCTGTGCTCCAGATTCCCTTACCAACTGTCCCAAGGTCCTAAAGTCTCTTTGATTGCCCTTGGACTACGTGTTGTGGCTTCATCATCACCCACATGGAAGAGCAGTAATGGGTAACAGTCCCAGGGCCATACCAGGCTAGGAAGTTTCCTAGTGATGTCCTTAATCGGGGCCCCAGGGAGGCAGCAGACTTCCCTAAGAGGAGGGTCTGCCTGGCACATTGGGCCCTCTGTTCCCCTCAGAAGGGAGTCACCTACAACTATAACTTTTCTTCCTTGTCAAGGTGGTTGTGACACGAGGAGTAGGCCTTTCTGACCTTGGGAACACCTCTGGTGTAGATGGACCATCATCCACATCATCCGTTGACTGACATTCCGCATCCAGAGCCTCATACCTGTTGTACAGCGGCACCTGGGAAGGTGGGGTGGGCAAGGAGGCAGTTCACCTTCCACCCTGAGCGTGGCCTTGCCTCCATTCACTGCTTTCCTTGAAGCTATTGCCTTCGGCCTGGTGGGGGGAGGATACAGGATCCCCTTAACCTTGTTTTTTTTTGCGGTGGGTGTTCCCGTTTCTGTCTCAGGGAGGGCGGAGCATGATTCCACCAGTCTATCTCTTTCTTGGGCTCCCTGATGCTCCTTAACCTTTCTACTTGCTCTTGTAGCTCTGCCACCAAGCTGAGCAGATCATCCATTTGGTCACAGCTCACACTGCTGTTCTCACTGCTACCATCTGTTTGTTACCCGTGAAAGGCTCTGGCACACTCTGCAGCCTGAGACCTGGTCAGCTGCATGTTTTTATGGGAGCTCTGTGGGCTGCCACATCCATTCTGGCGGGTGCAGAGGACATGGCTTTCTGCCGGGTGGATACCATCGCTCAGCTCCTTCTGCAGTGATGACCACTAATTCAGCTCACCCCTTGAGCTGGTAGGGTGATGATGCCCTGCCATGCAAACTGCTGCGCCATGCTCTGTTTGGAGCACTCCTGGTCACTTGTGCTCCCCAGGCTGCTTTTGATAGGCGTGGGGTGGCCGCTGTGTCTCTGTCAAATGACCACAACTCGTCAGTGTCTCCCGCAAGAGCTGTCGGCTCCTGGTGGGTGTCTCTGCTGCCCTGGGGTTTCCCTGCCTTGGGAAAATGCCCTGTGCACCAAGATCTGCCGCTTCACTGCAGATGGAGCCAGGTCTGGAGCAGCTCACCTCGGCGGCTGACTGCGGTGGCTGACGTTTGGCCTTTTGGATTAGAGGAATATGATCTGTCACAGGCAGATACCACACCTACCTTTGTGAGCTGCATTCAGGACCTCCAGGGAAAACCTGTTTCCGGGTTGATGATATGTGCCCCCCCAAACCAGCACGGGCAAAGCAAACATTTGTTATTTGGAAGTATCATCCTCTATTCACAGAAACCATTTTGCCCTATAGACTTTTATACAGTTTGCACTTTTTATAATGGCTTTATTTTGAGTTAATAAAAATTAAACAGTTTTAAAAAAAATGACAAGTGTTTTTCAAGTTCTGTCTGTTTTCTAGTAAAGTGTGATTCTCAGGTACTTTGTTAATGAAAAAATAAGGCAAAATGTTACAGTTTAGAAAAATCACACCAAGTTTATTGTATAAAATTGCTACTCCAATTGTTTTTGAAATATTAGAATATGCAGTTGTCATGTTTACAACAAAGATTTATCAGAATCTCTTGTGAGGGAAATGTAAAATTCAGAAAATCTGAAGGGCTATTTTATCAATTTTTTCCCCCTGTTTCTTAGGGATGAGCTTTATGACTGCTTTCAGGGTAATTTGCTCATATTGTAATTCTGCATTTAGTGCATGTTGTGTAGACAGACTTCCTTTCCCCAAACCTTTCTGCATGCTTTATGGTTTTGTGTGTCGATCAGAAATGGAATGTTTTATGCTTTAAAAGCACTTTACACGCTGCAAGTAAGCGAATGATCATTATTCAGACTGAGGTGAGTTGCTTACATGAGGGCATGCGAAGTATTAGCTGGTTCAGTGCAAAGTCCTCCCCACTGTTGCTGCCTTCAGCTTCATCCTGAACATCACACCTTCACTCAGAAAAGGAAACTCCATTGTTTCTATGCGCTGCTGTAATTTAGGTAGGAATTTACCCAACCAAAACCAGACACAGGTAGAGCTGTGCCAGTCCTTCAATATAGAAATACAATTATTATTTTCATTTCCAGTCAGTGTATGGTGTATTGCTGAACCTGAAGAGCATGTGGTTTAAATGAAGTAGTCTTCAAAGTCTTCATCTATTCAATCAATGAAATGCATATGAAATTTTGAATTTAACCATTTTCAGTGGATTAATACCGGTTAGTACCATATGTTTTTCTCACCCAGACTGGAATTTCAGGAACAGCTAACTGCAATCTAAGTAACATGTCCATTTCAATTAGTCTGCCTAAACAGTGTGGTTTAAACCAGTACCTCAAAACTGCATTGTAAATTGGTTATTTTGTTAGAGAATTAATAAAATACCAAGCCTAAGCTCTTTATATCTTACACTAACAGCACCTGACCTGCTCTGAATTTGGCTTAAACCAAGTTAAACAAGATCTCAATTGCTGTTATTGCAAATGGACATCTGATGCCAAACCTCAATGTGACGTGTGTCCTCTGTAAGCTTGTGGTCTTTTTTGTTGATACTTCTGTAACTATACCTGCAGAATTTATCAAAAGTTGTGATAGATTGTCCATCACAGGAATTTTAAGCATGGGAGTGGATGTTTGTCTTACACTACATGTATAACTGTCCAGGTAACAGTCTAGAGCCTCATACAGGAAGACGTAATAGTGTGACGGTTTCTTCTCATTTTATTGTTCTGGTATTAATACTGGCAAGAGCATACAAATGATACATGAATGTAATAGTTCACCATTTTTGCTGACTCTTGACTTCATTGGTAATGCTGAACAAACATCATCGTGGAAGTACCAGCTTGAGGTTCATTCTTGAGCATGTCTTGAACCCATCGAGTGCAGGCTGCCAAAGGAAACTTCCTGTGAATACAGGATCCTACTTAATTCCTATTAAGAAAGCTGGAGAGGGTTTTTTTATGAGGGGATGTAGTGATAGGATGAGGGAGAATGGCTTCAAACTGGAAGAGAAGAGATTTAGAATAGATATTAGGAAGAAATTCTTTATTGTGAGGGTGGAGAGGCACTGGAACAGGTTTACATGCCAACCTGAGGGAGCCAACTTAAAAAAAAATAAAAATCTGTATCTATTTTTCTTGAGGAGACGTTTGTGAAGAAAGGTTCCAAGATCTTTTGCCCACCATAAGGCACGAAGCAGAGTATTTCCCACGAGATGGCACTATTGCCTCATAAAAAGCAGGTTTTTGCGTCAACTGCAGTTTTAAAAGCTGATTGCCGAAGTGAGGTTTGCAAATAAATGTTAAAGACCCGAGTAGTTATCAACAGATATCAAATGGAGAATTAGCTTGCTGATTGATCTGTTAATGGCAGCCGCCTGATAAAGATGTGAAAAATCCTTATGTATGGGTGTCGAGATGAACATCACTATCAATCCATCATTGGAGAAACTGGTCTAGATGTAGGTTTTTTGGGGCTCAATTTTTTGAAATTAAAGTGGCTCTCTAAAGTGAATGGTATTTACTAGGTCATATTCTGACTGATCTTCTCAAAGGACTTTTACTTTAAAAAAAACCCCAATAAACCCCGAACTGAAAATCGTGTTGAAAATTAACTACTTTTAACATTTTCCCATTTTTTAGTATTTCTAGTTCTTTTCTAGTTAAAAAAAATGTCATCTTGAAATATCGTTGTATTTGGAGTGATTGTTCAGTTGCGATGACTGGCTGGCGAGTTGTTCCACTGTTCCCTCTGTCTATGACCGAAAGAGGTGTTTTCCTAATAAATTCTGCAAAGTCTCTGAATCAGAAACATACTCCCTGCCTTTAGCTGCACGTTCTGTTGATTTTCTAATCAAAGACAGGGTCAATCGCACCTCCTGAACCACCAGGGTAGAGCTGGAAGGAGCCCTGCTGTCACAGAAACTGCTCTGGATAATCATATACTTAATCTTATTAATTGCTGTTTTAAAAACAAGTTTGTTTTGCACCATGGTCTCTCTCTGATTGCAGTGTTCCAGAATTCCACTTCTCCGATGCTTGGAAATTTTCTTCTGATTCCCAGCCCAAATTTATTCACTTCCAGGCTATATCTCTTTGTTCTTCTGCCAGTATCACTCTCTATCTTCAGAAGTCCTTGTTCCCTCCTTTGGTATTTGCCCTGCTGATGAGAGCAATCATCTCTTCTTTTAGTTCTTGTTTCTCTAGGCTAAAAAGCCAAATCTTTCCATCTCCTCCGAACAGAGAGGTTCTCCATTCCCTTGATTACCCTGTTTGGGTGGCCCTGGGTATATCTCTGTTTCAATCCATCTTTCTTGAGCACAGATGACTAGAAATAGTGTGCACTATTTAGGACAAGGCCTGACAAGAGCTTTCTATCATACATTTATCAATTTTATTGTACCATAGTAGCATCTCTGTGGTAAGTAGCTCAATATCTGTGATCAATTAATAAGCTTTATTATCCTCAGTTGTTTAAAACTGATGAATCTTTTCCCCCTAGAACGTCGATTCATCCACACACTTTTTTGTGGGCTTTTGATTTGCCATCTCTAAATGCCTTTCATATGGGTGGCACGGTTATTTTAGAAATTCTGAACTTTGGACATCCATTTGCACGCATACCGTGACAGTGGTGTCTGTGGATGCCGCAGTGCGTCATGGTGTGTTCCTCCATTACTAAAAAGTAGCACGGGGCGATGCCTTGTGTTAAGTTGCCGTAGCAGAGTTTAAAAACCAAACTTACAGAGTTTTAGCATCAATAAAAGAAACTGCCTGGAGCTTGACGTTACAAAGGAAAATATCTTATTTAACTCTCTTTATACCCACTTTGCCAAGAGAAGAGATAAATGCTAAGTGTCACAATAAACTTGTTGAAATATGGGGTAACATTCAATGGACAGAACTTCTCTGTCAGTATTAACAGAATGAAATACTAGAAATTCCTCAGGAAAAGAATGTAATTTGTGTACCTGATGGTTTGCAGCAAGAGCTTGAAATAAAATTAAAATATTTTGCAAGCCATCTAACTCCTTACCTTTTGATTGATCAATGACATGACTCTTACTTCTTGAGAAGTGTTTTTTCTCTCAGTCATATTTGTCCATCTTAAACTTTCTGAGGGCTATCATAGCCATCTCCACAATACATGTATGTCACTTGTCACAGACAAAATACCCCTGTGACAGTATTTTTTGTCATGCTTCTGGATTTACGCTGTTTCTCTGTAAGTCCTGGGCCACTCAGAGCTTTTGAAGTCTGTTCCCTTGGTTGGATGGGGCTTTGCCTAAGCTAGGGATGATTTGGTGCCGTCGCTTCATGTCTGAACTATGCAACCAGTAATAGCCAAGCAGGCAACATGTACGGGGGCGCCTCTGTCACTGGAACACCCTGTTAATGCATCTAAGCCTCTGTGCTCCCACAGGATGTGGTTATCGTCCGAGTGGTTCTTCCTCCACGTTTTGTCTACTGCACATCTCCTTGCCTCTTGCGGTCTAAAAATTTTTCGGGGCAGGGACAGTTTCTTACCTCTGCTTGTGCAGCAGAGGCGGATCCTGCAGGCGACGTGTCTGCGCAGCAGATGCCGCCTTACCGCTGTCGCTGCTGGGAGCAGTGTGCTCCCCTGGTCCCAGGAGGCGGCTGAGCACCCATCCACCTTCCCGTTGCACGGCATCCATAGCTACCTGCGCCTGGCTATCGCACTGTTCGAACAGCTCCGTCATCAAGTATAACTAAAAACAACCCGCGCGGCTGGGTGAGTGTTTACGTGCACAGATTCCTATG